GAACTGTTAAAAACATTGGTTAATACGTCCTTGAGGTGTGCTTAACTTTATCGCTTTGTCCGTCTGTCCGTTCATCCAAAATCGTGTTTAGTGTATAGAAAAAGAATACTGACACCTAGTCATTATTCCACAAAAAAAGGTGACCCCTTTTCTATGAATACATAATAAATCTTGCTGAAAATAAATACCAGTTAACTGTAACTTGTAAAATATTCTCCCCAGTTATTATTTTAAAGCAATATTTTAAATAATTCCCCCTTTTTTAAAATGCTGGTTCGATTTAAGACTCAATGTGTCATCACCTTCTCTCCAACCGGAAAGTATTCGTGGGAATTCGTCCAAAAATTATAAAGTACTGACTAAGGTAATACACATAAATCTTCTCTCAATCATGATGAAAACTTGAAGCTAATACAAGGACGAATATGTTCAGAGTTAATTTCTTGGAACTAACCTGAAATGGTGTCTTACATACCTTAGACCTCCAGAAAGGTTCGAACCCATGATCCCAGGGTGGAAAGACAGACACTTTAACAACTCGCCCACCGCTCAATTGGATACAGAATGACAGATAGCAGTCCTTCTGGCCAGTATAAACATTAAACCCTAAATTCATCATTTAATCATTAACTTTTAACTATATAAAGTATAACTAAGAAGTATATGTTTCCTTGCTTCTCTAATAAATTAATCAAACGCTATACACACCAAAGAGAAAAGAGCTTCGAGATAAAGTGTCACCAGTCTTGAAATTTAATCATGAATTAACTAGAAAAGTTTCAAGTTTCTTCATTTCTTACTAAAAACCGTCATAATCTTCTCGTATATTATGAAAGGGTCATAATTATTTTCTTAAAAACATGACAACAAACGACAGGGTGTCATTATATAAGGGCGTGGGGATCACAATTCTTCTCGAATGTCATTTTCTTCCCGTGTTGGGAGGTCATAATACTTTGACCGGGAGTTTACTTTCATTGAAAAATATAGATCGGGAATCAAAATTCTATTTGGTCACTTTATTTCGTTACACCGGTTAATGTGGTTTGCACTGGCCGCTTAGATTAAGCCTGGTTAGTGATAACCAACGCAACGGATAAAATCATTATCCAATGGCTAAAATTTTTCAGTTGGATAAATTCTGTTGCGCTATCCAGTGGTTAACTTTAACCAGTCCTATGACCATCGGATAATGCTCTTAACCAGAGGTTAGTCATTATCTATAAAACAGTAAAAATCATAAAACATGTTTGAAACCAGATTTTTCTTACAAATATAATTATGTTTATTCTTTCTTAACTAGAACATTTCATATGATTAAATTGAATTGAACATTTCTTAAAAATTGCTTTTAGAACCCTTTTAAATTCAATTTGTTGTTGTTGTTTAGAAAATTCAATAAAACAATCATAACTTTCTTATTTTTAAATAAAACATACAAGTCTAAGTACTCATTTTCTTAGTTAGAATATTTTCCATCTTATGGAAGTATTTTCAATTCAAAATTTATTAAAAGTAGTTTTTGAATTTTTTCTTGTGAGTGTCTAAGGGAAAAATAGATCTCTCGATACTTTCAGGCCTTTGATATACTTTTTGTGTAATTCCAAAAACATGAAAGAACAAAAAATGCTAAATCAATTCTTTGGGAGCTTCCTAATTCTTAGAAATGTATCATTCATTTTGTTTCCAGAATCACTAACTGGCCCTGTTGCATTGTGATACTTAACCAGTGGATAAATACGCAATACACTGGTTAAGTAGGCAGGGTACTATCTAACTGTCGAACAATGAAATTTCATCCTCCGGATAGCTGGCCGCTGGTTAAGGATTTAAACAGTAGATAAGCTATCCATTGGTTAATTTTAACCAATGTTTAGAACAACCCGGTCCAGCAGTCTAATGGTGTAAGATTACTTCATCATACACATCTATATATATTGCTTGTGAAATGAACCACCGAAAGATATTTGAGCCGCGTCATGACAGAACCAACATAATGGGTTTGCGACCAGCATGGATCCAGACCAGCCTGCGCATCCGCGCAGTCTGATCAGGATCCATGCTGTTCGCTATCAGTTTCTCTACTTGTTATAGGGTTTGTAGGCGAACAGCATTGATCCTGATAAGACTGCGCGGAAGCGCAGGCTGGTCTGGATCCATGCTGGTCGCAAACCCATTATGTTGGTTTTGTCGTGACGCGGCTCATTTTTTGTTTATGTTTCTTTGCCAAATTTGCAGCTATAAGGAACATTAACGGAGATGAGTTAATAAAACTGTACAGTGTCTATAGCGAATTAGACCGAAGTAACTATATATTATATCATTAAAAAAACAACGCAATTTGTTGTCCCATCAATTTTATTATTATAACCCACATGATATAAGATGACAAAATAAATTTAAATAACTACCTCTATTTACACTAACATTGTCGTAAACATAATATCATTATTTATTGACTAAACAATTTAAGGAATAAAGAAAATGTATAATAACGAATTAAAGAACAAAATACATAATGCACATCAAATGTAACAAACACTCATTGACAAACAATATTGTCTCTCATTAACTGAACAGTTTAAGCTACAACTTGAAAGAACAAAAGAAAAACAAAATCCCACTTATCAACAATATTATTATTCATTGATTAACCAGTTAACAGTACTCATTATAACGACCTAAATAAAACAAAATGTCATGTCCATAGACTGCGTCCCATCTTCTCTCCATTTTACTGCAATAGAACAGTTGTATAGTAATTCTTTGATATATTTATCGCAATTTTGGTTTCAACGATTAAAACTGTTCTGCTTATAACATACAATATCTTAACAATTTCTAATATATTTTGAATTATTGACAGCATACAACATTCTTTCAGGATAGAATTTTTTTCTGTCCTCTACCCAAAAAACAAGGGAAAAAATCAGATTTTTTTTAAAATTTTGGTTGAAAAGGGTACAATTTTATTTTAAATCAAATAAAAAACTCGGGCTTTATTTTTTATATAAAAAGCCCCCTCTTTTTTGCAACCGTAAAAATTATTTTAATTTTCTTTATTTATATGTTTTAGGGGCCCAGTGTGGGGGGTTTTTTAAATTTTGGGTTAATCATTGTGAAAATTTTGGGGAGTGTGCCTTTTAAAATTCTGTGTTAATATATTATATTTTCTCATGAAAAAAAACACCTGAAATTAAAAAGCGGGCTTTTCTCGCCACTAAAAAGGTTTGGGTTTCTTTGAAAAACACCTTTTGGGCACCCCAAAGTAAATCTCCCAAAAAAAAATTGAAAGATAAACCCCACAGTCCATAATTTCCACGAATGGACCGTTAAAGGCATCGGATATTACCCAGCCTCCTCCAGGTTGGTATGTAAAAATGTTCCCGGAATTAATCCATCTAAAAACGCCTTCCTCCTCCGTATCGGATAAACCAATCCAAGGTTCTGTCAAATTAAATAAAAACAAATTTTGATTATTCATAACCTTTTTATTAGTATAACAAATAGAAAATTCTTGGAAATGAAATTAACTGAATGAAGATAAAGTGCTGTAATAAAGCTTATATATATTGATACAATGTGTAAGTATATAGTTGTAGTGGTTGTTATATTCAAACGTCATTAATCAATCAAGATAAGGGATACAACTTTTCCCTAACTGGCTATATTACTAAATGTAATTAGCTTTCCGCTTTGTTTTTGCATAACAAGTATTTAATAAATAGTGCCACAACTATTTTAGTCTGTAAGGTTCTGTACTCTCAGCAGGTCACTTTTTCCTTTGTATTTGAAAACTAAAAATTCCCCCTTCAAAACTTTATATAGACATGTCACAATATCCAAAGATGTTGCAAATCAATTTATTGAAAGTTAAAAAGGGTCACGTTTGTATCAAATAATTTGTGATAAATCTACAGAGAATTGTTTTCCTTTATAGATAGCAACATGCATTCAAACATTATATTTGAAAAAACAGAGTAATATTTCGATGCATATTGACTTTAAGCTAGACCGTCACTTTTTACGTAAACTAAGAGTGCTTGGTCAGTGGAGCCAGGACATAACGTTTATATATTAAAACCCCGCCTCTATGTGTGCTATTTTATGTGGTTATTTTCCTTTTTTATAATTGTTGATATTAAAAAAAATTTTTATCAAAACGTTTTTTTTTTAAGAAAACAATTTTTTTGGAAAAATCTGAATGGGGAAAAAAAAATATAAATTTATATTTTAAAAAACTGAAAAAGTATACAAGATGGTTTAAATTTAACCTAAAAAATTCCAATTTAAAGGGAAAAATTTGGCAATTTGGGGCTTTCCTCTTAAACTGTTATCTAAAACCAATATGTGATTCGGATACCCGCCGACAAAAGGGAAACTGGCAGTGGGGACGGGTTGAGATAATAAAAAATTTATTATTCGAAAAAGCACTAGAAAAAAAAAAAAAAAAAGGGGTTGGAAATTTTTTTGGAAAAAACTTAATTTACCCTTTTATTTTGAAAAAGAAAAATAGAGACTCTAGTGTACATCGAAAACAGCACAGTAAAAAATTTATTTTTCCCTTTTTCTTGAGTATTTTAAAGGGACTTAAAATTACTCTTATGATTTTCAGTTTGAGGGTTTCCCTTCAACGTTTTTTTTTAAAAAATACTGTTTTTAAAATTTTTAAAAAAAATTTTAAATGGGAAAAAAAAAATTCCAAAAAAACCTTTTTTAAGTTTTTTCCAAAACTTTTTTTTTTTGAAAAAAAAATAACAATTTTCATCGAAGGTTTTAAAGCGGTAAAATTTAAATTTTAAAAGGAAATATTTAAAAAAAAAAAAGTTTGGGTGGGTTGGTTACAAAAAAGCGGAAATTTCCAATTATTCCAAGTGTTTGCCCCAAAAAATGTAAAAAAGTTTGCTTTCTTTTTTTGATACCCCCCCCCCCCCTTTTGGAAAATGGGCGGTTACCCAACAAAAAATGTAAAAAGATGCAGCACAATTATTTGTAAGTCATTTTAAAAATATGTCTCGGTTGAAAAATGAATAATATCTTAAAAGTAAGTTAGCATGTCAGTTAAATATACAATCAATACATAAGAATCTTGTTATGGAAAAACAAAGACTAAAGCAAATTGAAAGGCTGAAGTTTTTTTCTTTTAAAAGAAATTTAAATTCTAAGCAAATTATATCACATTCACTTGTTTCACAATATTGTCCTGTGAACCCAGTTCCTGAGCAATTGCAGAACGTCGTTTCCCTTTCAAGATAACATTGGCTTGTCTCCGAACAATTACCTAAAAGAATAATTATTCATTTTTTTTATAAATAGGGTGGTAATGAAAAAAAAAATTAAGGTTGATTTGGCTCTCGGGCATGTACATGCAAAACACTTTGACAACAATATTACAATACTTTCATTTGACCATTGTAATTGCCCTATGTCGTGGCACTAAAAATAATGAATACAAAATAAAAATGGATGGTTATGATTAAGTTTGCTTATATTTGAATATTGATTGTCTTACACTACATGTATATAGAAAAGGAAAAAAAGTATTGGTACGCTGATTCCTTTTGGTGACCATTTAGGTCCGTAATCCTTAAGCGGGCAGTTCACTGGAACGAAAATGTTCTTTTGGCTGTTTAAGTATTCCATATTTCAGTAATAAGCTATTTTTCGGTACAATAATAGAAATAATGCGGAGAGATAGCGGAGATATTGAACGATTCTATAGTAATTTATAATTAACACAATATGTGCAAAAAAATGATATTGCACAATTATGCAAAAGAAACTGACATAATTGTAATAAAGCTGTAATGCAATGCTAATGCTTTTAATGTATATTTAAGTATGTAACATCTTTACTCACACTGAAGGCATTTCTTCACTTTTTTCCCCTCTGCCAATAAGCATGCATAGCCATCAGGACACTAGAGTATATGAAGGTATACATAAGGATTTTAAAATAATTTAATATTTGAAAGAATAAATATACAAAATATTGTTTTATCGTTTTAGTGTCATTTGCAAACAAAATGGCAAAGTAAGTGTTGATTTAAGGCATTTATCAGGTGCATCTAAATTAGTATAATTGCAGAGTTATCTTCTTGAAATATCGGGGGTACATTTTAAAGGAGGTTGCTCAGTACATATTACAATCTGTGCATTCACCCCAAATTAATATAAACTTGATATACATGTAGTCCAAACATAACGAATGAAATATAAGCAATATTTTTATTTTCATAATTTTGTTTGAAGTCAAAACGGCAATTCAATTAAAGCGGAAACATTATAAGGTGATTCAAATTAATTTACCTGTTCGTGGTCATTACATCTGCCGTTTCCCTTTCCTTTCTTTTTCGAGAAACTTCTTGATTCTGAACTTGCAGATTCATTTTTCTTTCCTATCCCATCCGAGAAACTTCTTGATTTTGAACTTGCAGATTCATTTTTCTTTCCTTTCCCATCCGAGAAACTTCTTGATTTTGAACTTGCAGATTTATTTTTATTTGTTTCACCACTATTCGGCTTCGATTTCGATGCTTTTATAAACACTATTATCAATACAAACAGCTGAAAAAATCATGTATCCATGTTTAAGTACCCTTAAGAAATATCCACGAACCTAAACCTGTTTAATTTAAAAAATAAGTTTGTTCAGGAAACCAAAGAAATAAAATGTAATTTACATATAAGTAAAGTAAAATAAGTAGAAAACACTCACCAAAAATGTTATCAGAAACTTTCCCATTGTTCTTTTGTCACTGCAGTAAATGTATTAAATAGCCAACAGAAAGATGCCCTGAAAGGAATTTATACTGATAGGATTTGTTTTCCATTTACTTTCATACATTTGTACTCTAAGTTACAATTAACTTTGCAGAGTGCAGTAAAACAACGAATATTTCGGCGTTCCTTTTTTTTGTTGAATATAAATACGGTACAAGACTCCGAACGAAAAGAAAACGTAGCATTATTTTATCCTGATTCTGTTTGAATATAGGTAAAGAAATACATCCCGGATAACTGTCTTGGGAAAAAAAAGAATATAACAATAAACAACAAATACAAAAATTAATTCAAGTTGGTACAATGTCTCGTGAGATCTGACTAGAAACATACATGTATTTTCATTTTTTTCTGTCATGATAAACAATTTCCTCACTTATCATTTGATAAACAGTCGGCGTATTTAGCTTTGACACTCTTATGTTCAGCTTAGAGTTATTTAGGTACATGTATTATTTTATCGTTTTAGAGGTAATTTAAAAGAAATTAACACTAACTTTGGTAATTAAATATCTAAATACTCTCGTGAAAACATTATCAATGCACTTGATTTTTAAAAATTATTTTAAAAGTAGTAGGAATCATAACATTAACCTTTTCCACGCTAAATATCTTGAACGGTTGTCTATTTTTCAAGCTGGACACAACCATTTATCATTTTAATGTATTTTTTCAAAATCAACATTGACTGTATATCGAGCAATACAGATCAGATGATCTGACGACAACCGTGCAGGATGATCTTGTTCTGCATTAGTTGCATTGGCAGATTCAGTCGCCGCAATCGAGCTAAAAATTAAACATGCTTCAAGAAAATTTATGAAAAGTTAAAATACAAAATCTTACCTTGGTATAAAGCAAATCACAAGATAAAGTATAAGGGAAATGGTTGCATATTTATAGAGACATACCAGCTTTTTGTCGGAAAGGACGGCCTACGTACGTAAAAAGTTATACCAGCTGTTTGTATAACTGACAGATACTTGGCTTTTTATGTAATAAAAACAATGTTGCACTTTCATTAATTATGAATCATTTCCCGCTGATAACATCATGAAGTTCATATTTCAAACATTTGTTAATTTTTAACATACGATAAACATATAGAGAAATCAATATCGTGATAATATACCATATGATCAAATACATGTAGTCTTACAACTTTCATCATGAAAATTATTGCTGGAAAATAAAAATATTTCTAAATACGAGTTCTGTCATTGTGGTAAAAGACTTCTTGCTGGAAATATCGATACTGGAGTTTGAAAACCGGTTACACTTTTTACAAGTTCACGGTGCTTATTGAAAAATAAAAAGCAAATAAAATACAGTATTTATATCAATCACTTAAATCTGTTTTCTATTGCGGTCAAGATAGACCACCTGAATTTTGACTTGATATTTTTTTTTAAACATTTATCAATTTTATGACTCCTTTGACCCTTCCTGCTCCGCAAGTTTTTTCTGTTTTTATTTCTGTGTACACTGTATATATAGAAAAAAGCGCAAATTGTTAGTTTGCTTATGTCAAAAGGAAATTCCCCACCAAGATTTTTTTTGCTGCAGGAAAACTTGACAAAAATGCATTTTCGCTATTGCAGTTATATTCCTTTATCATCATCTCTTAAATGCAAACGCAGTTTGATGTAATAGCTTTTTTGCACTATAATCAACAAGACCTGTGGAAATTGCGTTGTATGTCTTGATGATCATTAATCACTAATGTTTTTATTTCTGATTCATCAAGCTTTGTACAGCATGTGTTAAACATCAATACTTAAGAGAGAGAGAAAAATGATTTTATTATTATTATTTTTATCAAAATAATCTTCAGGATTTTAGAGGATGCATTCACGTGGAGATTTCTTTAAGTTACAAGGATGCTACACAGTAATGTGGGGTTGTGTGTGTATAAAATATATCTGTGGTCTCAATAGAGATAATGGCCGAGCGACGACTGGACATATCACGGATCTTATTGATAGTTTTAAAACATATGTAAATTTAGCACAGGATTCGACATTAGACATTCAGCAGGACATTGGAAGGTTACCGACTCGGTGGCGCGATATTCTGTAGGACATACAGCAAGACATTTAAACTTTACCAAATAACCTGCTTTTACATCATTCGACACGACATTCACTACGACATTCGACAGGACATTAAAATTGCTGCCAGAAGATAGGCGGAGACAATCAGCAGGACGTTCATTATTGACTGATTCCCCTGCAGACAGGCCGTTCAGTAGGACATTGAAATTGCTGGCAGGACATACAGCAGGAGATTGAAAATAACCAAATAGGACAATCAGTAGGACATTGAAATTGCTTGCAGGACATTCGACAGGACATACAGCAGGATATTGACAATTAACATGTTAAAACTTCAAATCTTTTCAGCATCCCCTGCCGGCACCACATTCGTCAGAACATATACCAGTACAGCAGAGCATTGAAACTTTACGGAATCTCTTGTTGGCATGACGTCATTCGACAGGACATTAGACCTAACATTGTAATTACCAAATGCTCCGCTGGCACAACATACTGCAGGACATACAGAAGGACATACAGCAGAACATTGATTATTTTTTTCAGAACCCTCTGCCGGCTAGACATTCGAGAGGAAATACAGAAGGACATACAGCAGAAAATTGATTATTTTTTCAGAACCCTCTGCCGGCTAGACATTCGAGAGGAAATACAGAAGGACATACAGCAGAAAATTGATTATTTTTTTCAGAACCCTCTGCCGGCTAGATATTCGAGAGAACATACAGAAGGACATACAGCAGAAAATTGATTATTTTTTCAGAACCCTCTGCCGGCTAGACATTCGAGAGAACATACAGAAGGACATACAGCAGAACATTGATTTTTTTTCAGAATCCCCTATTGGCACGACATTTGGCAGGACATTCAGAAGGATATTGAAATTGCTGGCAGTACATACAGCATGACAGTGATTTTTTTCAAATGTAACATTGATTTTTTTTCAGAATCCCCTATTGGCACGACATTTGGCAGGACATTCAGAAGGATATTGAAATTGCTGGCAGTACATACAGCATGACAGTGATTTTTTTCAAATGTCCCATGCTGGCACGACATTTGGCAGGCCATTCAGCAGAACATTGAAACCGGATATTCTGCTAGCAGGTCTCTTAGCATAACACTGAATCTTTTCAGCACCCCTTGCTGACCGCATTCGGCAGAACATTATGCATGTACAGCAGGACATTGAAACTTCACGGAATCCCTTGCTGGCATGACGTCATTCGGTTGCACCTAAGGCAGGACGTTGAAATTTTACGAAACGTTCTGCTGACAGGACATTCGACAGGACATTCAGCAGGACATTGAAAAATACAGAATGTTCTGCTGGAAAGACATACAGCAGGACATACAACAGGGCATTGACTTTTTTCAGAATCCACTGCTGGCACGACATTCGGCAAGCAATTTGACATTGAAAACGAATGTTCTGTTGAGAGGACATTTTGGAGGTCATACAGCAGGACACTGAATAATTACCGAATGTTCTTTTGGCAGGAAATTGTGCAGGACATAAGCAGTACATAGAATTCTTTTATAAAATCTCCTGCTTGCACGACATTCGACAAGACATTTAACAAAAACCGAATGTTCTGCTGGCAGAACGTACAGCAGGACATACAACAGGATATTGATTTTTTCAGAATCTTCTGCTGGAACGACACTCAGCAGGACACTGAAATTTTACAGAATCCCCTGATAGCAAGACATTTGGCTTGACATTCAGCAGATAACTGAAATGGATAAATACAGAATCCCTAAAGAAAGCCCAACACGGCAAAATTGAAAATGGTTGCAGTTCGGTTTGATTGAGCCTGTTCATGGACGGTTCTTTCCGTCCACGCCCCTTAGCACCGGCTTAAGCAGAATTCAACATTTAAACATGAAATAGTAAAATTTTGAATTTAGAAACATCCGCAGATATGTTCATACGGCGGTAATCATGGAACCTTCAATGTGACACTTCCGTGCCATTCCATGAAAAGCGGCGTATGGTCCCCAAGTAATAAAAATCGTGTGCCCTTAACGAGAAAACAATGGGCGGAACTAAATAAAATGAAATTTTGAAAGGGGATCAGAGGTTATGAAGCCTGCGTATCACAGATTAGACGTCAAAAGACAAATTTAAAAAGCAGGCAACATATCCTAAGGGTGATTCAACATTATTCAAGTAGGAATATTGGAACCACCCAACTAGAAAATGCCGAAAAGTTGAAACTAAAAATACCACAAGCACAACAATAATGTCGTGCTGAACGATCTTCAAGGATCGTAAATATAACATCATTGATTAAAAGTACGGGGAGACTTTTTACAGCCGCCACACGGCACAAATAACACGGATGTGATCATAAAATAGATAAATACAGAATCCCTAAAGAAAGCCCAACACGGCAAAATTGAAAATGTTGCGGGCTCGGTTTTATTGAGCCTGTTCATGGACGGTACTGGAAAGTGCAAGTTACCGTCCACGCCCCTAGCACCGGCTTAAGCAGAATTCAACATTTAAACATGAAATAGTAAAATTCTGAATTTAGAAACATCTGCAGATGTGTTAATACGGCGGTAATCATGGAACCTTCAATGTGACACTTCCGTGCCATTCCATGAAAAGCGGCGTATGGTCCCCAAGTAATAAAAATCGTGTGCCCTAAACGAGAAATCAATGGGCGGAACTAATTAAAATGAAATTTTGAAAGGGGATCAGAGGTTATGAAGCCTGCGTATCACAGATAAGACGTCAAAAATTTAAAAAGCAGGCAAAATATCCTAAGGGTGATTCAATATTATTCAAGTAGAAATATTGGAACCACCCAACTAGAAAATGCCGAAAAGTTGAAACTAAAAATACCACAAGCACAACAATAATGTCGTGCTGAACGATCTTCAAGGATCGTAAATATAACATCATTGATTAAATGTACGGGGAGACTTTTTACAGCCGCCACACGGCACAAATAACACGGATGTGATCATAAAATAGATACTACAGAATCCCTATGAAACCGAATGTTCTGCTGGCAGGACATTTTGCAGGACATAAACAGGAAATTTGTTTAGAAAAAAGTTGTTCCGGTTAGGTGGTTTCCTGCTTACATTTGTTAATGCAAGATGGGACGGGAAACCAGTCTAGGTTTCCGCTGCAATCGTGCCAGTTCGGGCGATTCCGTCCTACTGCGGAATCAGACGAAGTAATATTACGGGAAACTAAGCTATTTTTAGTTACTTCGGTAATCTCAGATTGTTTCTATAAATAGGATTTCAATTTTTACTTGATTTAACGGTTTAAAGCGTAAGTAGAAGGCAGAAATAAATTATAACGAAAATGTTCCGTTTCAATTCGTTTTCAAGACGCAAAAGTTAGTTTCTTTTATGATTGAGTTTTGTCTTTATTAGTTTTATACAATAGAGAATAGCTACTGTAGTTGTCATGAGTAGTATTCCGACGGTCTTTACCAAAAGATCATGTTGTGACCGAATCACACACAGAGAATTAGTGCACTGTGGCCATACCACGTGACTTTTCGGGTACGGAGCACGCCGACTTTTCACCCGATTCAGGTATGTTTTTATTTATAACTTATTTATTACTCAACCGATTTTAATCAGATAAGGCGCAGAGTACCCGTAATTATATCAGCTTTCCACGGTATATCAAATTCTGAAAAGCCCTGAATGGTTGGTACAGTTTTCTTTTCATAGCCTACACACTCAATTGTCATAACAAGCGATTTGTAGCGCGTCATATGTTTGTTGTCACTATTTCATAGAAAAAAACATGTTAAATCTGATAGATTTACAAAGTCCAATGTACCTAGTGAATGCAGAACTTATGTTTTTAGCATACTTCATAAAGTTATTTTGAAATGGTACAGAACACACTGTTATTTCAAAAGATACGGTACACACAC